CACATTTGTCTAATTTTGCTTTAGTTGCCTGTACTTTTGAGATCTTATCTAAAACGTCCTTGCCCAGAGTAGTGTCATGAAGCATTTTCTCTGTTTTTTCTTCTGTCATGACAGCCGAGATAAAGAATCAACCTGAGTGTCAGTTAACAAGTGGATGAAAAAGTGTGGTACGTGTACATATATATTATAAGTAAATATAATGAAATGTATATACATACAAATACTATGGAATACTATTCATTCATAAAAAGGAATAAGATTTTGTAATTTTTAGCAATATGGATGAGCCTAGGGGACTTTATTAATGAAATACGCCAAGCACAGAAAGGCAAATAGTGCATGATCTCCCTCATATGTGGTATCTAAATAAATAAATATCATAGACATAGTGGAATAGGAGTTAGTAGAGGCTGGGGAGGGTATAGAAGAAGGGGCATTAGGGAGAGATGGATCAATATGTATGTAGTTGAAGTTCAATAGGAGGAATAAGATCTGATATTCTAGCATCAGTAGGTTGACAATGTTTAACAATATTGTATTGTACATTTCAAAATATGTTTACCTAGAAGAGCAGATTTTGAATTTTCTCACCAGAATGAAATGACCAATGTCTAATATAACTGTGCTCCATCCTCTGATTTGAATATTGTACAGTGTAAACCTGTATGGAAACATCCCACTGTACCCAGTAAATGTGTACAATTATTACGTGGCAATTAAGCATGAGATAAAATTGAATATAAATAATCGCACTTTATTATGTATTTCACAATTCTAGAAGTACTTGTGTAATATAAGACAAGTAGAATTTCTCTTTGGTTTCTTCTTTTCTTTTTTCCTTTTTTCAAACACTTTAAGGAAGTGGTGCTTGAAGAACACTCTCACTGATTGTTAATAATTGAGCAGCAAATGTTTCCACCTGTGTCTTTGAATTGATACGTACAAAATGTGAATGATGCTGCTGAAAATAACAGTCATTTGAATACTTGCATAATTCTTAATGCTAAAGAAATTCTTCCAGCTTTATCAGAAAAATGACTTGAATGTTGGTCTTGTCAAGGAATACGTTCCTAGAATAAAAGTCACTCCATTTTTCCCAAGGAAATCTTTAAAATTCAAGGAGGAATTTCTATTAGATGTAGGGAGCCACTTCATCCTGCTCAAATATTTTGGTAACTTCTTTTCCTCAATTACATTTAAAATTGTTCCAAAAGTTTATGTTTCTTTAAAGAGAGCATATGCGTTTTTATATTATGTAACTATTAAATAAAATTACATACTTGATATAACTGGTAAAAATAAGTTAATCATCTTATTTCGTTCTTATAATTGTATGGGGTTTTTTGTGTGTGAAAATTATAGAGGGTTAAAATATGTATCTCAGGTTATGCGGTTATACAGGGCTCCTCAAACTTTTAAACAGGGGCCAGTTCACTGTCCCTCAGACCATTGGAGGGCCGGACTGCGGGCCCTGGGACGAGTCGGCTGCTAAGCAGGACAGGCAGTGGCCACAAAAACACCCAGCGGGCTGGATAAATGTCCTCAGAGGACCTCATGTGGCCCACGGGCCATAGTTTGAGGATGCCTGGTTTAGAATAGCAACTGAGATGCAGATTATTGCCCAGAATGTATTTGGGCTTAACAACCTCTGGGAAAACTCTAAGCTAGATTGTGAAGGATAATAATATCCAACACTTACTGAGCACTTGGTAGGTTGTCAGGCCCCCTTCTCAACAGTTTGCTTAGAGGTTACTTCATTCAATCTTATTTTTAGACTTAGCCAACAAATATCACCAGTAATTGAGTCTTTTTGACTGTATCTTATTATTTTTATTGAAACATGTATTGAGGCTTGGTGCCTGTAGCTCAGCAGTTAGAGCACCAGCCACATACACTGGAGCTGGTGGGTTCGAACTGGGCCTGGGCCTTCTGAACCACAATGACAACTGCAACCAAAAAATAGCCTGGCATTGTGGCAGGTTCCTGTAGTCCCAGCTACTTGGGAGGCTGAGGCAAGAGAATTGCTTGAGCCCAAGAGTTTGAGGTTGCTGTGAGCTATGATGTCACAGCGCTCTACCCAGGGCAACATAGTGAGACTCTGATCACACCTATGGTGCATCTTACAAAAAGAGTACATGTGAAATTGACTAGGTATAGAATATAAATATCTTAACACAATACCTAAGAAAACTACGTGAAGGCTATGTTAACCAGTTTGATGAAAATATTTCAAATGGTATATAAACCCAGCACATTGTACCCCATGACTGCATTAAAGTACACAGTTATGATTTAATAAAAAAGGAAAAAAGAAAATTTGAGTTTCTATGCATTACCCTTCATGATCTTCAGTCTCAGAGGATACTTCTTCCTAAAACAAGTCCAAGTTTCTTAAAATATCCTTCAAGCCCTGTTTCTGCATTCGGCTCCATTTCGCATTTCACTCCACTGATGTTTCTCTCTTATTTTCTGATTTCACCTTCCCTATAATCTCTATCTATTGTTTCTTCTTCTTCCTTTTATATTTCCTCACTTTCTCTCTCTTCTTATACCTTGTTCCTTCCTTCCTCTTTTTACTACTTTGGTAACTGTGTTCTCACTGAATTATTTTCAGTCTCTGCTATTTCATCTTGTTTTTTCTTTCCCTCTGAAATCTTTCTTGGTCATCAGCATGCCCTGATTCATTGGTGTTTCTAAGTCATATTCACATAGATGCTTTGTCTTTATTAATGTTTCCAGGAGCATCTCATCCAATTTAAAGATAGGTGACTGGAACCCCCAATACCCATGCTGTCTAGGGTATATCTGTCCTAAGGAAACAAGAAACAGGATACAATAGTGGACGGACCTATTCAAAATTGACATTGGCGTTTTTCCCTGCTGCATCGTACCAGTCTATAGGCAAGTTAGACACTCACCTTGTCAGTTGGAATTTCTGTCTAGCTTCCATTAACCCCTGACTATGACGTATAAAAGCTGTTAGAGTAGGATTTCCCTTTAGTTTTATTCCCTTTGGTTTTTAAAGAACAAAGTAAGTATTATATTTTACTTCATATGTATCTGTTTATTTTCCCACCTCATGCTGAGATGCTTTGAGAAATCTCTTTGATTAACTTGATCGCCGTAGCTGGGAACACTATGTATGTTCAAGCCTCAGAGGCTAGAAGGTTTGAAGCCATTAATCTTTCTAAACCTTCGCAGCCTCCATATAAAATTGGAAGATGAATATCTTACCTGTTTAAAGGCCATTGGCTCTCTCTTGATGGATGGTGTACACACCGTCTACTTTATTCAATAGTAACCTGATAAAGAGATGTTTAAAGTCTGAGAGAATTCAATAAGGTAGCTTGCCGGATTTTGCTCCCCAATAATTTAATAATACGAATGATTTGTGATTTCTTCTAACAGAAATGTTTACTATAAGATCAATATTCAGGTTGTAGTGAACGTGTGTGAGAATCGGTGGTAGTGTTCAGCTAATTCTCCATGGCAAACTAATTTATTATGTTTTATATTTCAGTTTTTAAGAATGACTTTCCTGCCTTTCCGTTCTTATATGGGTTTATATTAATACAATATACTTGCTGACATTTTACTTAATCTACATAGTCCCTAGAAAACAGTGAAAATGAGGCTTCCATAAAAACTTTTTATTACGCAAGCCCTTTACCTCTATGAAATTTGTATTGAAATTATGATTATCAATTATCATCTATTTTAGTAATATAGTATGTTGTAATTTTCTCTAAAGAAAGTAGAGTTTTATTACACTGAGGTATAATTAACTACTTTCAAAAGAATTTTGAAATTTTTATACTGCATTTTTTCCTAAATACATAAATTCCAGAAATACTTGTGATAACTTTCAATTAAAAGAAAATTTCCTACTTAATTGTAAGTGATTTTCTGAGTCGTGTTTGCTCTATCATGCTGCTTCTGTTCCCACTTCACCAGAGTTCTGTACAATTCAGCTAATCTCACCTCTCCCCGCCTACTGAACTCTAAAATCTAGCCAGATAGCTAAAACTAGTTCTCAACTTATCAGCAATCACGTAAAGTTTAAAGAGGTAAGTAAGATGTAAGTTGTCTCCCAAACCAGAAATTTTCTTTTTCCTCTTTTGAAGTTTAAAACTCTAACTTAATGGGATTGCTTCATGTACCCTGCATACTTCAGCCATTGTAAACCTCCTTTTCTACTGTTTTTTAAAGAATATTGTGATTTTGTATTCTTTGGCGGGCATCTTCCCATACTCACCAGTTAGTGGTAGCCACTGCTTCATTATCTCTGTACAACTGAACTCCTTTAAAAAATATATTTTTCAATATGATGAATTTTTTTCCCCTGTGACTGGCTTATTTCTTTTAGCATAATATCCTCCAAGTTCATCTATGCAGGGCCTTCATATTTTTTAAGGCTGAATGATGTCAGTGTCTTGTGTGTGTGTGTGTGTATAATATTTTATGCATAGAGGGAGTGGGTTTTTTAACTTATTGTAGCTAGTAGCCATACTTATTTTTGAACATTTTACATTTTAACCTTCATACTCGAGAAATAAGAGATTTATAGACCACTATTATAGAAATAGATTATTCTAAATTTGATTATTAACTTGCCTCTACCAGTGAGTTTTATAAATTCATATGTTTTTATGATAGTAATTATCATCCCTTTGCTGCTGTTTTAAGCATTTCCTTAAGCTTTTTTTATGAGGCCAGTCTAGCAGTGAGGAATTCTCTCAGTTTTTGCATCTCTAGGAAAGAGTATTCTGTTTCATTTCTGAATGCATTGCTGGGTATAATACTTTTATTTGGTAGGGTTTGGGTTTTTTATTTGTTTTTTTCCCAGCACTTTAAACATATCATCTCCTTCTTTCCTGGACGCCAATGTTTCTGCTGTGAAATTCTCTGGCACTCAAATGAGGATTCTTGTATTTGTGACTTGATACTTTCCTCTTGATGTTTTTAGAATTCTCTCTTTGTCTTTGCCTTGTGATTGTTTGAAAAATAGAGAAGGCTTCACAGATTTCCATGTCATCCCCATGAAGGGGCCCTGCCAATATTCTTTCTATTGCTCCAATTTTAACATATGTGCAGATGAAGTCAGCACTGACTCTAAAGTTCTGTGAGACAGTATTTGTATTTACATGTCAAATATTTGTTTTTTAGTGAAGTTACATAACTGCCCCTAGAACTCTCACATAATAAATATAAAGCCAAGATTTCAATTCATGTGTTCAAACCTTATGTCTTAACTGCCCTACTAGGCTGTGTGTCCAAAATCTTTCTACCTCAATAGCCATATCTCATATAAAAGTACTCATGGATATGTGTATTCCCTATATAATATTTTAGAATAGATTTTTTATATGTAACTTTGTCACTGAAATTAAATATATAGCGCCTGGAAGTGTTTACAGTGAATTTATAGGGTTAGAAACTAGGTACCTGGAGAATATAAACTCTTCCCTGAATATCCTGGACAGTCTGCACAGGCTGTGTCACTAATACTGCATTATTTATTTCATTGAAAATATTACCGCATATAACTCGTAAGCAAACTGAAAATTCTGATGTTTATGTTTCTTGCTTGGGTACAGGACAGATGTAGATTTGCAGCCTTGCCAAATATTGTATGACAGCTAATCTTGCTTACAAAACCTAGAATTAAAGCCATCAGTAACTTTTATAATAGGATAAAATTCAATTTATGAAGAAGAAATTTTAATAACCCTTAACCACTCACTTAATATATCACTAACAAATAGCCTGAAATTCAAGATTCAAAATTAACCTAAAAGTTATTGGTTGTCAGCAACAGTAAAATTCCCAGTTCATTTCAATGTTCACCACCCTCACACTTCCATGGGGACATGGGACCTATATGGTATTTTTTTTTTTTTTTTTTAGGTAACTCAAAAAGAATAATAATTAAACATATTTCAAAGTTGTTTAAAAAAGCAGTTGTTTCCTCAAAGTTTGCTCTGAAATAGCTCATTATATTATTTGGGTTCATAAAACTTTTTACCCTTCAGCCACCATCTGATCTTTATCTGATTGGATAAAATTAATCTTGTTGATAGACATCTCAGAAATATTGTGACTAAAGGCTAAAAATACATAGAGTCACTTGACCTAGGAAAAGCTTCCAATAGCCCCCCAGTTTATAAGTATGAGGAAAGAAATTTCATGCTAGTTGAGAAGTACTCTCTAAGCTCTCTACAACCCTCTGTTTTACATAGCTGCTTTTTTCCTTTTTCTTTTAATTGAATATGTGTGTGTGTGTCTTTCTTAAACAGAGATAGGATCCTACTCTTGTTCTGTCATTCAGACTGAAGTGCAGTGACATAATATCTTGGGGTCAAGAAATCATCCCACCTTAGCCTTCCAAATCTAGGACTATAGGTGTGTGTCACCATTTGGAGCTAATTTTTACATTTTATTTTTTAATAGAGATGGAGGGTCTTACCATGTTGTCCAGGCTGGTCTCAAAGTCCTGGACATAAGCAAGCCTTCCACTTTGGTTTCCCAAATCACCGAGATTCAGGCCTGAACTATCAGACCAGACTTCTAAGTATTGTTAATTAAAATGTTTTAAGTCAGAACTAAGTAAAATGAAACAGGAGACTCTGAATTGCAGTCTCATGCTCTCCACCAAGCTTCTGGTTCCAAGTCCTAGAGAATTTTGCCTAACTTCACCGGTTTATTTCAATCTGTACAGTGAAACCACTTGTATATAGATATATATTGTCACCCTCTTTTTTCTTTTTTTTTAATATTGTCACCCTCTTCTTTCTTGAGAGTTCAGTTAAAGAGTGAATAGGTCTGACTTAGATTTGAAGACCAGCCTATGCGACTTGGACAACTACTTAAATTTGTTAATGCTTTGCAGTTTTGATACAGGATTCCACCACTCAGGGCTAAACAGGGAGTCCCCCATTCTCTAGACCCAGAGCTCAGAGGTCAGACCCCCCATTTCCACAAGCAGACTGCCTTCCTGTGATGGTTTTTTTGAGTGGCTCCACCTTGGATAAGACCACACACCCTAATCCCTTCTCAGGGACAAAGACTGTAAAGGACATGATAACTACATTCATTCATTTCTTAGTGCTCCCGTTTCCACCTACCAACTTGCCAACCAGGTGTCATCCTCTAGACCTGATTCCCCTAGACAAAGAGTCCACGTGGAGACTCCTGGGAGAGTTCTTTGCTTCTTTTCCCTTTCCAGAAGTTCTGGTGCTTTTTACTTTTTCTATATTCCTTTCTAACTCTAATAAAAGTCCTATCTTATGACTGATCTGTGGTTCATGGATTTATTCTTTGAATTCCTGAGATCAAGGACCTACTGAAGAGAGAAATTCTGGTATCAGTTTCATTCGTAAAACATAACTAACATCCCCAAGGTTGTCACAGTTTCTCACAGAATGCTCCTTAAAACAATAATCCAAATTGTCCTGGAAAAGATAGATTATTTAGACAGAATAAGATTGAAAACTCTACATAGTATATCTCAGTCTTTAAGTATCAAAACTATGTTAATTATGTTGTATACATTTTTCCTGAAATTTATAGAAGAAATACCCCGTAATAAGTGTGTATATGTATGTATTGTATGTTTATGTGTGTACGTGTGTATATAGAGAAAGAGAGAGCTTCTGAGAAAGAGAAAAAAGAGAATTAAAATGAGTTTACTATTAGTTCTGTAACAAATTACAAAAAAATTTAGAAGATTTTAAAGCAACACACATTTTTTTTTTTTTTTTTCTCCTAGACTTCTGGAGGTGAGAAATCTGAAAAGGAGTATTAGAAGGTATTAAAAGGCAAAAACCCAAATGTCAGCAGGGCTGGGCCTTCTGCAGGTTTCAGAGAACCTGCTGTTTGCCTGTTTCAGCTTTTAGCAAGTGCTGTCATTCCTTGGCTTGGTAAGAGCCTGGGTACGATAAATCCTGGGACAAAATTCTTCTGGATGAGAGTGTAAAACTCAAACAACATGTTATCCGCTTCTCATGGTAAGTAATGCATAGAACAACAGCTATGAGCTTTCTTATTCAAAAAGACAGTTGCCAGTCCCCAAACACTTTTAAATGTAAAGGGGAAACCTTGTATTTTAAGTTTCAAGCAGGTCGGAGCTGGAGGCTCTGCCCTGCAGACCCAAGATGCTCCCCTCTGGGCCTACATTTCTGCCTTCCAAGTCATCATTCCTTTTCCACAAAGGTGAGCACCTATTTGTAGCTCATTAGTTTTATTAGCTTGTTTCCTACCTGTAGAATTTTGAGAATCCCATAGCCTTTTGTTTCCCTTTCTCTCTGTCTCTTTTAGTCTAGTCTGACAGTGTTTCTGATGTTAGAGCATTTCCCAAACCTTGTCGTCCTCTTGCTGCCTGTGCCAGAATCTCCAATCTGCCTTTGGAGATTTTTGCTGGGTAAGAATAAGTCAGTCTCTATTCCTGGTTTAGGCTGAGAGGGTTGATGAGCTTCCTGAGCAATTCTCTCTCTTTGTCCCCTCTCCTATTACCCTGACTCTGACTCCACCTGTGTGTCTGTAGTAAGGAATGTTGTGACTGTAGTAGATCTACCTGGATAAACCATAGCAATAGTCACACCATTCTAGTTCCTCATGTTTCTCATATTTGCATAGTCCCTTTGTCAAGAAAGATGACACAATTATAGTTTCCAGAGATTAAACAGTTATATTTTGAAAAAAAATCATATATATACATATATATATTTCTGTAATGCATGTGTGTGTGTGTGTGTGTGTATTTATACACACATATACAGAATTCTTTTTTTTTTTTTTTTGGAGAAACTCAGCAATCAGCTTTGGTATATTTCCTCTCCTCCACTTGATTTTAGCCAGAAGGCGCAGCAGCAATTGTCTCTCCTTCATTTTATGAATGCAGTTGGAGTTCACTCAAAGACTTACAAAATAAGCAAGTTTTGAGAGAAAAATGAAAATCACCAGTCTTACTTGAAGCAGAAATATTAAACTTGAATAGTCATGCAACTCTTTAAAAATTCTTTGTACCCTCAATGAACCTCAAACAATAAAAGAATAATAAAATCTACAGTACAGTTAACAAGAAAAACATAGCAGTCTAATAATGCAGTAAAAGCTTCATAAGTTGACCATCTATGGAACTGTAACCATCTGGTGAACATACTGAGGTGGCTGGTCTAAGAAGCTAGGCCCACTCTCCTGAGGCACACATCGATACACGTGGCACATGTTTGGTCTATGAAAATTAGGTCAACTTAAGTAGGTAGTCAACTACAGAAGTCTGCTGTATTTAATTCACAATTCTAAAAATGCGTAAGAAGAAATTCTTACAAATTTATACAGAATATGAGTATAGACCTTCAAAAAAGAACTCCCATTTAGTATGTCAATATAGGTTTAAAATCAAAACTGGGTAATGACTATACAAAACTAAAAGTTATAGATGGATGTCATGCATAAAATATAGGTAAATATTGCAAATAAATATAAGAAAAGATATATATATGTATGTATGTATAGTATGTTTAAATGAGAAAATGTACTTCAGTTTTTCATAAAAATTAAAAAGACAAAAAAGTAATAACTTTCTCAGATGAAGGATTCAATATATGATAAAATTTACTATCAGCAAAGTAAGAATATAAATATTATTATTATGACAAAGATTATTTTCACAATTTATATATTAAATGTAATTCTGAAAATTTAACATATTTTTAAAAAATTGTTTAAAATTGGCAACATGACCAATGTACAAACCACTTCAGATTCTATTAAAAATTGCTCAACTAATTCAGCAAAACAAGTAAAATAAGGAAAAGTGAAAAAACAAAATTGCCATTTTGGGGCAAATTATATGACTTTCAAATTAAAAAAACCTTCAAGCGTATGTAATATATTTGTTAAAATTAATAAGAGACAGAGCAAGTGTACCAAATTTAAGATAAACATTAATGCATCAAAAGCATTTATCTGCACTATCAGCAAATGTTTTAAAAATATGCCACATACAACAACCATATAAACTATAATAAGGATGGAGATTAAATAATTAAGAAAATGACAAAAATGGAAGAGATGTGCTGTACTTATACATGGTTTTCAATATAA